ACAAACCAGATTCCATTGGAGGAAGAAATCAGAGAGAAGCACTGGAAGTGGATAGGACACACATTGAGGAATGCACTCAACCGTGTCACAAGACAAGCCCACACTTGCAATCCTCAAGGCCAAAGAAGGAGAAGAGGAATATCAAAGAAAATGTGACGCCGAGAACTGGAGACAGACATGAGAAAAATGAACAAAAATTGGACAGGACTGGAAAGAAAGGCCCAGGACAGAGTGGGTTTGAGAATGCTGGCCAGTGGCCTATGTTCCATTGGGAGTAACAGGCATAAGTAAGACAGTTGGATTCAGGTTAAGATTTACTCAACAGTTAGGTGTGAAACAAAACTTACCAGTATACCGGCCTGTAAAAGAGATATATTATAATTAATCATTCTTTATTCACAAGAAGAACAAAAAGTTCAACCGATAGGAAGTAAGCGTGTTAATTTGGTTCACATTATCCATAAATCTTATATTATGAGTTTTCATGATAATATATTGTGTAACAATTATGTACAGTATAATTTTAAAACAACGACTATATAAATAAGTGTAAATAATATTCTTATATACATTGAAACTAAGAACACAATTCAAAATTGTATATTGAACTGGAATAATTCAGACTGGTAGAATAAACTATCAATGAATTTATTGTTCATAGAATGAAGGTTTGTGGAGATTGCAATGATTGTAATGATTGAATTCATGAGTCGATGTAAGCTAGATCACCAATGTGAACTTAGAAGCACAGGACAACCATTTCCTCCTAGTGTGGGATTCCTCCAATCCGTGTCGGATAAAGAAAGGTATCTACCTCAAACAATGAATGGTCTCACAATATCATGAATCAATTGAAGTTAAATATTAACATCGTTGGATACCAAACAAGTGGCCTAGAGGTTGAGCGTTCGCGCATGAGACCGAAAGTTTTTGGGTTTGAGTCTCGCATGCTGGGTCATGGATACGCACTGCTGAAGAGTCCCATACTAGAACGAAACGACCGTCCAGTGCTATCAGTTTTTCAATGGTAGTCAAGCTTACGTTGACTCATGCATTCCATGACTAAGAATTTACTGTTGTCAATAACTGATATTACAAGTCCGTATTGTGTATTGATTTTGGTTTGCATTTGGGAAAGCTATAATTTTCATTGGTTCTTTACAATAAAACTTTTCATAAAATACCATTTTCCAGAAAAACTAACTGTATTTTATTTGTAAGTTTTGCAATCATTTGCAGGTCATTAAACCAATCATTATTCGGTTACTTGGTCAGACATTTTAAAAACACTGTATCCTCTGATCTCGATAATTTAGTTATGAAGCTTTTATTATTGTTCTAGACAAAAATCATCAATATAAACCTTAGAAACAATAATATGTTTGTTTTAATTATGAGATTGGCTAAAGTGAAGATAATAACTTCATAACTATACCGTCTAGTTCGGAGAACGCAAAATCTCTAAAAAAAAGTTCATCTTTTGAGGATTTACAACTGTATGCAAACAGTATACATAACAACTGATAAGTGTTAAGCACCGCAAATGTATTTCATATTAATCTAGTAGTAAACAATCGATAAATATTATTTCCCTACAAAATATACATGTTTTTTTCTTATTATTTTCTTATAATATCAAAAGGGATTTTGTGGAGATTTTAGTAATTTTGTGGTTGCTATTGTTACTAAAATAGCAACTGTAATTGATTAGAAGGGAGAGCCATTTTCTGTTTCTGGATGAATCAGTACGGTAATAGAAAATACAGCATGACAAATTAACAACCAATATCGTTCAAAGACACCAACGACAAATCTGTATACTGATTGTCTTGGTTCGTTTTTTTCACCCCATCGCCAATGATATGTCTTATAAGTTGAATGCTACTTCTTAGAACATTTCGTCGCTGGTTGTTGTGTCGGAAACTCTGATCACTTATACTCGAAACGAGGGACCTCTGCAATTCTCACAACGCGAAAGTAAGAACACAAATACTGGTATAAGTGTTAAGCGTTTCCAACGAAACAGCCAGCGACGACCAGATATAAAAAGTAGCATTTAAACAAAACAAGACGTATCAAATGCATAAGTCAATTGTAGTTAGACGACTATGGAAAACCTGGGAACACTGGATGGCTATTTCGTTCTAGTATGGGACTCGTATATATTATTTTAGGTTATATATCCCAATACTTTCGAATTTAGATAATGACCATTACATTTAATTATTTACTAATAAATAAATACATACATATACACAATGTTTCACAGGTTGAAATCATGAGTCAATTGAAGCTAGACCACCATTGAAAACCTGGAAGCACTGGACACAATGAACATCAAGTCAAATTGGAATAGCATATTAATTCAAATAGATTTATCATATTTTATTTTAAAAATTAAATATTTACTTTCATTGTCACCTATGGAAGCAAATCATGTAACAAAAAGGAAAAAAAGGAAACAACATATATGTAAGTATATAAACATATAAACGAAGAACAAATGTAATTCGATTGTAACTAGTTGAATTTCGCTATTGTTCAAGTTGTGGAATTATAATTGATCAGCAACTTTTTGATTATGCGTTTATTGTGCGGATGACTTTAACATTACTATCAGATGTAAAACATTTGAAAGTAAAGTTGGATAGTGAGTAGTAGTGAATGAATATTTCATTCTTTGTGAGATGAGCCATTGTGATATGCCTGCAGCTCACAGTTGATATTCATTCTGAAACTAGAACTTAATAACTTTCGCTTCAAATGCGAATGTACTGATGATGATGATGATGATGATGATGATGATGATGATGATGATGATGATGATGATGATGATGATGATGATGATGATGATGATGATGATGATGATGATGATGATGATGATGATGATGATGAAATGTGTATCCTAGATTCTACTGCTAGCTACTACTCAACTATGCTTAAAATAGAACAAATAAATTTTAACAATTTAAGTCACAAACTAATATCAGATAGATCACCATTAAAAATTTAAAAGCTTTAGATGGCCGGTCTGTTCAATTGTGAGATTTCTTGACAGTGCTTAGGTCGTGGATGCTGACTGTTAAGTCAAATTTCCTTGAATTCTCTTTAATCACTACACACTAAAGTGTTGGGCTAACTTCAAAATGAATCTTAATTTTCATTTAAATATTGATTAGGTGAAGCTGAAATATGTTACACAATTATTCACAAAAATTAATTCATTATTTCACAGTGCATTATTATAAGAGATCAAATGCTGTGAAACAAAACTTCGAACCATTCGAGTATACTGGAAAAAAAACCATGACTGTTATGCAATTTTTATGTAATAATAAATTGTTCGGGAAAAATTGCTACAAGGGTAAAGAAAGATTTATAAAACATTTACGTAATATTACATAAGAACTTTCATCTGACGTTGATCGAGTCAGTTTCACAGTATTTAAGCATCGAGTTGATATGAGACATTAAAGAGGAAGAATGTATTTGTAAAATTTCATCGAATGGATTTGAAGTAAATCCAACGTTTTCCCTGACAATCTGGTTCAAACGTTTTCAAGGAAATTTAATCAAACACCAGAATTACCGATTATATTAATAAGTACCTAGATACAAATACATTCTTCCTCTATCATTTACGTAATATTCACAATGGATTGTTATGTATAATATAATACTACATATCAATGTTGTATTATAAATATAATCAAGTCATTCAAAGCTTTTAAGAGTATGTACTTTCACTAAATTACTTACTAACAAAACAAAATGTTATTCGCAGAAGGGGTTTTGTGGAGATTTTAGAAACTTCACCGATTGAAATCATGAGTCAATTGAAGCTAGACCACCATGGACTAGTGACTGACTTCAAGACGTACTCATGAAGTTCTAGTGAGAAGCCGTTACCAGTGAAGTTCAACCAGGTCTGTTGCAAGATATCAACTCACTGAAGACAATGGTGGACGGTGGCGGAACTTCGTAGATTGGTTAAAGTTAGACATTAACACCGTTGGATGCCGGCTCAGTGGTCTGTTTGGTTAAGCGCCTGGCGCGAGAGTAGTAGGTCCTGGGTTTGAATCTTGCGGGGTGCGGGACCGTGGATGCGCGCTGCTGAGGAGTCCCATACTAGGATGAGACGGCCGTCCAGTGATTCCAGGTTTTCCATGCTGATCTAGCTTCAATTGACTCATGATTTCAATCAGTGAAAATATTATTCATTTAAGCTTTTTAAAATTAGAAACGAATGTGATATGTATTGTTCAATAACACACACTGAATAATAAAAAAACCATGAATCTGTATCACCTTTTGTCATTGTTTAATAATTTGTTGCAGTTATATCCCGATGAGAATAATGAATAGTAACTTTTGGAATCCATTTATGGAACAATATTATACGTATATTTTTATCGTATAATTTTTAACTAAACTATACATATTCGTATTCTTCTTATTATGAGCTTTAGTTTGACCTATGAACTATTATTATGCGATTTACCACTCTTGAGTTATGCCCTGTCTACCAATTAGCATTTCCAACATTCAGAGCTACATTTGGCTAAATCTTGTACAAATGTTGTTTACTATTTTATGGTACCATGTGGTTTGTCTGGTTGATATATAAACCTAGTATGTTTGAAATACGTAATTCATATCACAGAGGCTGAGATTGGTGTTCTGGACTTGACAGGCTGGGCCAGGCAGGAAGAAGGATAGATAAGGATTCTAGACTGCTCGTACTTGTTTTATGCGACATTGGTCCGATCGATAGTTCACTGTTCTCTGATTGGCGGTATCATTACGTTATACAATTAGTAGGACACAGCGCAGAAATTATAACAGGTGCTTATAATTATTATCCAGATGATAACAGTTTGTGAATGAAAACTATTACTATAAAACACATAAGAAATCTCATTGAATTGATTCTATTATCTTCATTATTTTCAGAGTTTATTTAAAGTTATAAGAAAGATAATTTCAAATATACAACTTACCAGATCTCTTAACTCCTTGATAATGTGGTACATTCCATCCGAAATCCCCTCTATTACCTACAGGTAAATAACGTCCAACAACATATGCTTTTGTTTGATCTTGACTTAAAGCTAATCCAAATCCAGCATGTGTTGTGGATTTCCAAATCATCTGAGTAAAATGACCTAAAAATATCAAAAATGAAAATGAGATTTAATTTGTTAACCAGTTGTGTCTTGACATGAAGCATTTAAATTGGATTCCTTTTTTCATCTTATTTTCGAACACTTTTCCGCTAATATGAATAACCTGACATTAGTTTAAAAAAAAAGTACAAATCATGAAAATAAAACAGCCAATGTAAGGAATCGTAGACACTTACACTATTCCTGCCTCTTACCAATGTCCACATCATATGTTATTTGTAATGAGTAAGTTGTTATCCGAATCCTATATAAAATGCTAGACCTCTTAACAATTCATAATAAATATATGATTAGAGCTATGATTGTATAATGTCTGGTGGCAAATGATCAATATGAAATCCAGTTTAGTATCACAACAACCTTCCGTAATTAAAATATGTTCTTCATCTACTCCGGTACATTTAAGATGAAGATAGAGTCTTATAACAAAAATTACGTGAAAGATCAAAGTTTGATATTTTTCTCGACTTTTTTTGCACCAATCTGATGTATTAAATGCATTGAAAAAAAAGACTTGGAATACCTGATCAGTTGTACTGGCTGTACACCACATTATTTGAAACTAGTGTTGTTAATGACAGTTAGACAGTCAAATAACAGACATACACTATTAAGTAGGCTGAACATCAGGTTAAATTTGGGAAATCTATTTAATTTAATCATTGGGACCAATCGAATTGTTTCAACACATTCAAATAATGTCTTCTCTGTTTAAAACATTTAGCTATTTACGTAGGTAATAAAATGCTATTTGTTTTTCTATTTTAAGTAGAGCTTATTGCTTAATGTATATCTCGAAACTAAATGAGCAATAGAGATAGATGGTGGCTAACAGTGAAATCCAAGACGTACGTTAAGTCCTATTTAGGACTTTTCAATTGTATGTACCTGGATCATATGGTACATGGTTGGAGTCCTGGAGTGGACATTAACTCTGACATGCCGATAAATTCAGCTGACGAGTCCCAAATAGGACGAAGCTTGTGTTATGTTTAAAATGCTTGTAAAGTAATGGTAATATCGAGTCAATCCTCTTAGGATGTAAATATTCCAACAGAGACTGGTCAATTGCAGTGCTAAACAATAATTGAAAATATAAACAACCATTATATATGAATTATTTGAGTAATGGGAATCTCTAAAAGATGAAATTGTTTTATACTCAATCAAAATGGTTTAATTAAGATCTTTAATATTTCCAATACGTAGGACTATTCATTTTGTAGAATAAAGTTTCGTATTCAAACCACTATGTTTGTACAAAATATACACCACTCAATATAAATTGTCTTTCTTTTTTAAATGAATACTAAGATAATAAGTTTGAAGGTTGAAGAAGTAGTTGTACATTCAATCTCGATATTATTATGCAAAAGAATACTGAACTTTGATACTTTCATTCTCAAGTTAAGAGTTCCCGAAAAACACGTATTAATGGAACTGGTTAAAGAAATGACACAGTATCATATTTATCATTATGATCATTGCAACTCACGTGAATTTGGATGATAACATTGATTAAAGTCATGATAGTCAATCTCACTATACCAGGTCTGTGAAACTTCTTCACCTAAAAAGAATTATAGTGAGAAACATATGATAATAATATTCAGTAGGTTACTAAATGATCTGCATATTTAGTTAAAAGAAATAACGATTGTAGAATATATTTCGTAATCTGCCTTTTACTTCCGGTCTGCTGAATAATAGTAAAAGATTATAAGCAAAGATGGATTGTAACTGGACATACCTTTACTAAACCTTCAAACGATTTTCACATTTCACTATTTAATTAACGTACGTTTGAATCAGGAAATGGTCTTTATTACGTAGATTATTATTTACTAAGACCTAATATCTAATATAAATATATTAAATTATTAGACCCGAATAGACTTAGTTTTCATATTCTTTGATATTAGTCAACCAACTGTTTTCATTGAATAAGTGGTGATTGGGAAAAAAAATCTAGATCCAGAACTTCTTTCTGATTGTCATAATCACTCAGGTAACATACTAACTGATAAACCTGAAATTCAGTTTTCCCAATTGGTATCTGCATACTCACTGGTCTAGAAACAAAATGTAACTTTTATTCAGTACTATTAATTTCTGAATAATTCATTGGTTATAGTCGAAACCTCCCATGTTATCAATATTTATATCTTTAACTTGTATAAGTTTTCTAAACCCAATCCTTTCAAAGACATCTATAACATTAATCTAAAATTTGATACTAGTGTGGTGTGTGCTACCGATGTCGACAGATATAAGTAGTATATATCACCAATCTCAAGTGAAATGCTTGGAGGTAGACGTTTAAGAAGATCAAAGAGAAGAGAATGATTAGTATGTAAATGAAGGAACAAGGAAGTCTGAAACAATTGATTGGCATTTTGTATAGTTGTATAGTTTTCAGATTTTACTAAGTGATTCTATAATTTTGTATTAAAATACATTCAATTGTCCCCATTGGTGTTCTCGTTCACCACACTAGTATCGATCCAACTGTAACGTAAGCATTAAAACCAACTTGATCAGCTTCTATAATACATTTCAATAGGACAATCCACAATCGTGTGTATAACAAATGAAGTATCAATAATTACAAGAAATAACAGTTTACAGTTGTAACATTAAAAAAGAAATTATTAAGTTTACATTGTAAAACATTTGACAATTCATATTACATTCATTATTTAGTAAGTTCTATTTAATGTTACATTACTGTCATTCATATTATTAAAATACATTAATATTCATTCATCATTTGAACTATCATTAATTTGAGGTCAACATCAGGTGAGTAAAACTATTTCTTAATAGTACATACTGTTCTCAATATTGACCAATAAAAATTAATACCAATTTAATCTGCAATGTACTATTATGATAAATTCAGATGGATAATCGCTAGCTGTGAAATCCTGGACTCGCGTTTCGTTCTATGTGGGGCTCGTCAGCTGGATGTATTTGCATCTTAGAGTTGATGTTCACTCTGGGACTCGAATTAAGTACCGTTCGCTTCAAACGCCATTGAGTTATCCACTTAGATACTGAGTTCTGATAGCCACTTGCTTGCGCAATAGGGTAAAGTTTATATTCACTTAGTATTGTTTACTTGAATCCTCCAGTTGATGTTTAGGACTTCAATTGATCAGTCTGTTAATGATATATGTGCATACTGTGCTCATTGCCTTGATATTGCCATAATTCACAAGCATTATGTTCAAAGATGGGTCAAAGATGAAGCGATCGGTACTGGGTTCGAGTCCCGGAAGGAACATCAACCCTGTGATGCAGGTACACTCAACTGATGAGTCCCAAATAGAGCGAGGCGCGTATCCTGAATTCCACAACAAACCAATATCTATCTTTGCTTATTATGCTTTTAAGACAATATCGAAGCAATACGCATAGTATGCATATATGCCAATAAGAGACTGACTTAATGTAGTTCTAAACATCAATGGAAAGATTCAAGTAAACGATACCAAGTGAATGTATTAGTATTTATAATCTTTTTTTCTGCATTAAACAGTTTGTATCAAATTAAGGCTCTGTTTATAACTCTATCACCAAAGCTAAGAATCTAACCATTAGTTAATAAATAACAGAATAGCATGATAAAGTATCTGTTCCAGTTACTATAAATAATCGAGTATACATAATTATTATTGAGTCTATGTTTTAAAGATTGCCTTAAGATGAACAACCATTAAATCGAAAAATTGAATAGTGATAAATATACTTTTGGCGATATTTCAATGAGCAGAAAACTGTATTTTTGATGTTTCGTGACTTAATGTAAGCCACTTCTTCAGAATAAAGGAAACATTGGGATATAACGAAAAAATATACAGTTGTTATTAAATTTCTATCCAATGCTAGATTTATTTGAAAATATCAAGTCTAATCTTGACATTGATACTAACAAACTGAATAGTAAGATGTTCATTGCGCGAACTAAATGTCATGGAGTAGTTTCCGTCATATGTGTTTACTCTAAAAAAGTTTCGAACCTGAGATAATACTTCTGTTTATTCAACTCCAAGTTTTAATGTCTTTCCGTATGATGACAGTTTATGATGATATTAGGTCTTAAATGTAGTAGATCTTACGAACCAATTATTTAAGAAATACAAATAAATGATAAATAACAACTAACTATGAATTTACTGCCTTTAACTTGATGTATTTTATAACGACTATATTTTAAACATAGGATACATAAACTACTAAGTTAGTAGCTATTCGGATTCAATGGCTTTTAGGATAACATTTCAATGTTTTAACGGACAAATACTGGGTTCGAGTCATAATGACGACACCCATCTGGGAAAATTCAGACAGAAGGAAATGAGTATCATGTATTTCAGTGCCATTCAAAAGCAGAATATAAGAAAAATATGTCACCGACAACAACTCAATCTTCTCGCGATGCACATGTATGAATAGAATCTAACTAATTCTGGTCCCTAATAACAACGGAGGAAATATATAAATCCTTACAAATATCATGAAGTTATATTTGTTCATTCTATTTAGTGATTAAATCACCATGAATAGATCACTAACTCATGGAACTAACAGAATGGTGTGGGGAAAACAGTTGTAGAGTAGGAGGTAACGCTTCATTATAGTCTAAATTACATAAAAAGCAAAAGAAGTAAGTAATTATAAATGTTCTAACCAAAACGGATCTAATTCAAATCATAATTTCGACATTAGGATTAAAATTCATAGCCGTTGCACAAGCGGACGACTACCTGGACTCATTAGCTAAGTAGTGGTGCGTTAACACTCGAGGCCAAAGGCTCCGGGTTAGAAGTCCGTAGTGGATATCGACTGTGGGCACCCAGGTACACGCAACTGACAAGTCTTAAACAAGGGGAAATGCACGTTCCGCATTCCACTGTTATCTAAATTCCATTTATTCAATGGAGATGTTATTTTAATAACTGATTTGCAAATTTTAGTTTAATTCAAGTTAGATTTCACTAAAGATTGATATCAGATGACGAGATTTGTTATTATTTTGACTGAAACTATGATGATTAATCAAATCAACTGACGCACTTGATCAAAAATCAATTAGAGTGGTATATGTAGGCAACTGTAAACCGAACTGGAAGACTGAAGATATTATAAACACCTTGAAAACTAGAGATCTGGAAGACAAGGAAGTCTAAAAGTCTTTAACTAGAATCCATAGTTCGTAACAAAAATAACCATTAAATCGACATTCCAAGTTACGATCAGTGATTCTATTATAGGTACCACACAGTTTCGAGAGAGCACTCATTACTGAATCTCTGAAATGAATTCTTAATAACAGTTTGGTAATCCGAAGTGTAAACAGTTTATATCATGTTACGAATAAGAAGAAAAACCAGTACACACTTTGTTTTAAAATAGAATTTCTAAATTAATATGACTCCGTACATATAACAAACTGTTATTACCTGTTATTTGACATGGTGCCACAGACATTTTAAAAGCCAAATTTTCTCCATAATCATTATAATTACTATGATATAGTTTTTCAGCGTCAGCTAAATTTTCAGCCCATTTTTGTGCTGAAATCATTAATTCTTCATCTAATTGAAGTTCTCCACATCCATGTAAAGAACGAAGTCTTTAAATAATATAAGATATAAATTATAATTATATTATGCAATACACAATTCAGTTAGAAATCATGATAGTGATTATATACATCAAGATATGCATTTTTTATAATATGGTGCAACTTCATCAGAATAATGGTGAATAAAACATATTAGTGTGGATAGAATGCATCAGCTTACTAATATTAGCATAATATAGTAATAATAATGTAGCCTATTTATAGTGAATAGATTCATGTGCTCAGCTTTATGCTACATAGTTTGTGTAATAGTGCCTTGGAACTGGAATTCAATAAGATAGAGCTGTGTTTGAACCTATGAGTTGAATGCTACTATACCAACACTTCATCTACTCAAAAGATTGTCTTTAAATTACACCTTATATTACATTAATATAATGATACAAATAATATTCCATATTAACCTAATAGAATCATTTGATAACATTAAGTATTAGTGTTATCATTTATCTGGGTTTCATATTTTATTCTTCTAGAACTTTCTTTCTTCCTTAAAATCAATAATTCGAATGAAATCAGTTTCTAATATTTCAAAGATTTCAGTATGAATTTAACATTCCTACTAAATGTTGCTTACTTACTAATCACTTTCAAAGATAGAATCATTCATCAAACTATTTAGAGATAGTGAGCATCCACGATCCTGCTCGCGGGATTCGAACCCAGGGCCTTCAGTCTCGCGCGCGAACGCGGCCGTCCAGTGCTTCCAGGTTATCAATGGTGGTCTAACATCAATCGATTTATGATCTCAATCAAAAACTTAACAATCTCCACAACCCCTAAACTGATATTTAGAGATAGCTTGGATTTTTACAAATGATATAATTTATTCATTCAAGAAAGTACAATGAAACAAAAATTTAATTCAACGTTCGAATATCCGTAAATCACTAACGAACCAAGTTTTAACTTGAGAAAGTATGATTATTTTCACAATTTAACCATTATGAGGTTAATTTATTTAAATGATTTAATCTAATGTAATAAATCTATTTATATCACGGTACGTTGAACAGATGCTTTGTTCTTATATTAGATTCTTTCTTCTTACTTTACATCTAAAATATCATCACTGAAGTTAGCTTGCTTGAATATTTGGACTACCTGTTGCTACCAATTAGACGTTTCAACAAGTTATCCATTTTCTTGTTTGTTTTAATAGATCATTATGCCTATTTCTCGCATAATCTATTCAATTAAGAAAGAGCACAATTAGACACATTGTGGTTGCTAGCAATATACATCGAAAAGAATATACATTAATCAGATATCGATTCCTGAACTGCTAACATCTAAATGGTGAACACTCAATATTTATCTCAAGGATCGACCAAGAAATAAGAAAAGGAAACTTGTTGAATTACATTAGGCTGAAAATTCTTAATTACACCAAAAATATAATATTGAATAAAGTCACTAATAATCATAATAATAATACTAACCATTTCTACTCTTAGAAAACTATGGAACTCATATCAGCTATTATATCAATATATTCATATATACGTATAAAAACTACCTCCCAGACAACATGTGGAAATACAAGTTGGTAGAATTTATAAACGTACAAATATAAACCATAACAGATATATTTCAATTTGAATGATAACTGTATATATCCAATTTTAGAATGAATTATATTGAATGAACAGTATTGAAAATATCACTGTTTATTTCAATGAACCAAAATATCAGTTTAGGGATTGTGGAGATTGTTAAGTTTTTGATTGAGATCAATGGTGGTCTAACATCAATCGGTTCATGACCTCAATCAAGAACCTATATATGGTATATATTATCACAATTGATTGATCACTGGGTGGTGATCAATGTCATGCTTGTCTAGTCCTTATTAGTGCAGATCGAATGCTAACGATCATGTTGCAATGTATATATATATATATATAATATAATATATATATATATATATATATATATATATATTATCAAATAAATTTTATATCATTATCTCATTGAATATTCAATTTCCTTCTGTGTACATTAATGTTATAAAAGAATTGGTAGTGATCACAGATCTAGATGATCTAGATCTAGATGATCAAACTAAGAGTTGTAAAATCCACCATGAACAGTTTTGAATTACATCTTTAACTAACGTCATTCCTTAGATAAATTTAAAACTTGTAAAGTGTTATGCGAAATGAAAATAAATAGTCTTGCTTATTTTATAGTCTATTAATTAGTATTATTTTGAATTAAGCCAGAACAAACATGGATGAAGAATAATATGAATTCATTATATATCGTGGTTTCTCATCAGCTGATTACAACCAAATATGTATTAGAATTTTACATTGGGGTAAGATATAGTGTGGAGCAATTGACATAAGTGAATGTAAAGAATTAGAATGACAATGGTCAACAATGATAACTATATATATACATGTGTGCAAGGACAGTTCAGAGATTATTTGGTGTTAGAATTAAGGAAACATTGAGAATGGGTGATGCAATAGTTGAGTAAAGCTCGAAGACAGATAAGATAAATTATGTGATAGTTTTAGAGATAATGAAGGGTTTACATGATTAATTAAAACAAAACTGGTAAGATGGGTTATGTAACAGCTGAATAGGATTTGGAGAGTTTATATAATTTATGAGAATCAAGTGGGTGAAAATGTATGAGTGAAGGGGTGGTTTAAGAATGCGGTAATGGAAAGAAATATAACAAACTAAACATTAACGAAATAGAACTAATGACTAAAAGTTGAATTACTAGGGTAGTAATAGGTTTATTACTATCTCCCTTTGAATACATAGATCAGGTTTGAATTGTTTTTTTTATCTCGAAGTAGTATTTCTTTGTCTGCTAATAATTTTAAAAGCATGAGATGTAAACGGTATGCCCGGTGTTAAGTAAATGCCGGGCTATTGTACTGTTAAAGACCGTTGTAAACTCTTCAATTCCTATTCAAGTATTACACCACCATCTTACTGATTTTTTCAATTTCATGAAAATCATGTAAATTCTCCATTACTTCTAAAATTATCACAGAATTTATCTTATCTGTCTTATCTGTCACTCAACTATTACATCACACTTCCCTAATGTTTTATTATTTCTAACACCAAATAATCTCTGAACTGTCCTTGCACACATGTATATATATAGTTATCATTGTTGACCATTGTCATTCTAATTCTTTACATTCACTTATGTCAATTACTCCACACTATACCTTACCCTAATGTAAAAGTCAAATACATATTTGGTTGTAATCAGCTGATGAGAAACCACGATATATAATGAATTCATATTATTCTGCATCCATGTTCGTTCTGGCTTTATATTTAAATTCATTAAGGGAATTAATTGCATGGAACAATATTCTGATAAACTTTTAATCCTCTCTACTTGCAACTACATAAAGATTTCTAAAAAAAATATCTAAAATTCCTTCTATTATATTACTGAACAACTAAAATGATACGGAATTTATGGAAGATTTAAATCATTTATTTATCCATTCTGCTAAATGATTTGTACTACAAAGGTTATTCCGGTAAGTCACTAAGACTGGTTAATTAAAACTAATACGTAGCCTCATTGAAAATAAAATAATAATGATTTTATTTCTAACCTTAGAAAAAAATGTTTTTTTTGAAATTGTGGATTCTACAAATGTCCGTAAACATTTATCCGATTCAATATAGTGAAATGTATTAGCTCGTGTTGGTCAGAAATATGATCTATTCAAACATCATTCTGTATAACTAAGTTGCAACAGAAATAGATAACCGATGTATTCATCAGCTCATCAAATGCGATACAACAGTGATTCATTTACTGATCAACCTATTGTTGCTGGAAGACAACAGAGAAATTCGTGTGACGTTCCTGAATAAACAAACTTCGTATTACTATCCTAATTAAAAGACAACTATATGTTGATATGACTTCCCTACCATGGCTTTTTGCCAAAAATTTACCACCTTAGTTAATAAAAATTGATTAAATTAGTTCCTATTAAATAAAGATTAACTTAACTATTGTAAAAAAAAAATGACGTAACCACGTTGACAAACTAACCTCTTAGAATAACAGAAATATTCATATACTGGTTAATGTGTAATATGGAAATTAGTTTCTAGTGAATTATAACTATTTATTCAATATTATCTTTATGAAAAACCGAACGGTTCTATAGTATTCTATCAAGATAATAGTTATAAACTAATATACTCTTAAGTCTTACTAAAAACTATTACCTAGGTAATGACGCTTAATAGCATCCCGATAAAGCCTAACATTCTACACTGAATTTGTTGTTATCTCTCAAAGAAAAAATTACCAATTAATAATGTAATAAAGAATGTTTGTAACTCTGGTGATTAATTCTAAATGGGTTTACTTCTCTAAGCTGAATTTTTTTAGTTGTAAAGTTTCCATTACTCTTCTGGACAATATTATTATTACTATTAGTATAAATCTCGAGTAGAAGTCAGAATCTTTACAATTAAACATCCCAGCTCATAGAAGTAAACTTCGCAGGAAACCTACTTGAATATCTGCTCTACCTTCTCCTATCATTTAGATATTTCAACAAGTTATTTGTTTTATTTTATTTTAACACAGCATTATGTCTAATAATCACATAAACCATTCAAGCACGTTTGTAAAACGTTTAAGATCTTTCGCTTTATAATTTATAAAAAATGTACAAACAGAGACATCACAGTGTCTGACAATATACAGCAAAAAGAATGAACATTATTGAGATATCGACTCCTGAACTGTTAACATCTAACTGGTGATCATTCAATATTTATCGTTGGGTTTAATCAAGAAATAAGAAAACGTAACTTGTTGAAATACATTGTGCTAAGACCTCTATATTGTACTAAACATATAATATTGAATAAAGCTAATGGTAATACTAATAATTTCAATGGTTAAGATCATGAGTCAGTTGAAGCTAGACCACCATGGAAAATCTGGAAGCACTGGACGGCCGTTTCGTCCTATTGTGGGACTCCTCAGCAGTGCGCATCCACAACCTCGCCCCTGGCGAGATTCGAACCCAGGACCTACTGGTTTCGCGCGCGAGCACTTAATCGTTATACCACTGAACCAGCATCCAATGGTGTTAATGTCTAACTTAACTATTGTAGAAAAAATGATGTAACCACGTTGACAAACTAACCTCAGAATAACAGAAATATTCATATACTGGTTAACCCATTTGATATTAATACTAATAATCTTAAAGTAGACAGTCACCAAACTGTTCATATACATATATACATATTAGTAATAAAATATCAAATTAACTGTTCACTTACCGATTATGCTCCCGTATAGCTTGTTGATTAAAACGTTCATTAATCATCTTAAATTAATACTTATTTCTATGAATATATCTTCAGAAAAAAAAGAAGAAACAGAATGAAAGAAATAAGAAAAAACAAAAAGAATAAGACCATAGTAACTATTGAATTTCACTGAATACTTTTCATTATTATAATCAACAATTAATATTGAATAAACAATAATCATAATTATCACTACGACTACTACTTAATGAATTTACAAAAAAACAAAAACAAATAAACAACCGAGTCACTTTTTTTTAAAATAAACTTTCCATTTAAATAGTTCAATTTACTAAACACAAGGTTATTATAATCATTACTATTATTATGATGATGCATTATTATTAGTAAATTGAATATGTGTGTTTCTTCTTTATTCTACAATTGGCTTCACGTGATTAAAAAGAAGATCTAATTCATTCATTCATTCATTTCTATTGGTTAAAATAGTTGCTATGATCAAAATGTAAAAGAAAAAATAATAATTTTTTTTTTAAATTTTTATGAATTTATTCATTATTAATATAAAGATGAAGAAAAAAAACCCAATTCATCTTAATGATTGGATTATATAGAAAAATGAACGAAAAAAGAAAGAAAAAAGAAAAGAAAAGAAAGATAGAATAGCAGAAAGAAAGAAAGAAAAAAGATTGGTAACTTAAATAGAAAGAAAAGAAAAGAAGAAACACAAAGTAAAATACTAATCACATACTGTGTAAAACATACAATTCCATTTGACAGTTTATTATTAAATACTTATGACAAATACAGGTCATAATGAGTTAGATGATTGTAAAAACTGTAGTAATAATAATAATAGTACTTATTATTATGATTATTACCTTCAACATACTTATTCCTACTGAGTTTGTACTGATTTATATCGTTGTAAATATACATACAGATATGTGATAATTCTAAGGAGAATTTTGATATACAATACATAATGGTATTAACTTTAGAATTCAATTCTATTGTGTATATATCTGTAGTATATTACATTAATGACATTGTTTTCTTCATCAGTATCACTAATGAATAAATGAGTAAGTACACGTGATTAGTATTAGAAATCTTTATAGTGCATTGATGAAACATACTGTCAATGATAATATTTTTTATGGTACATTTATACTTTAATAGGAAAATAATATATATACTCAAATGTATATAAATAAAGGAAGGAAGGATATACAGTTAAAGTTGTAGTCAATAAAGATAGAATGAACCGAGAGAAGGAATTTCGGCGAGACTCTAATTTATGGACGAGCCAATCAGAGGCGTTTTAAAGATTTCAAGGTTACGTCGCCAACTTCAGTGCTTAATACTAACGTACGATCGGTTCACAGGGAATTTGGTACAAAACGTGATAATTGAGCGGTTATAGCAAATAAAACAGCGAAGCTATAATTTGTGGACTAAACAATCAGGTATAAGATAATAGATCTCGGATTTTAACGCGAAAGCCTTTCATTCATTTGGCTAAATAAGTTTTTGGCATCATAGCTGATGTCAGTTCGTGATGAAAACCCTTTATATAATTCCTAACCAAGGCAAATTACGACAATTATAGCCAACTGGATAATAAAAGCACCAGTGACACTGGCTGCAGCCAGGTACTACAATATATACGGATGTTTGGAGAGCGTACAGACTCCTACATAGGCTTGGTTATGTGCATCATATCGTTATCCACAAGTAGCATTTTGTGCACTCAACAACCGGAATGCACGTAAGCAATATTGAAGCTATGTGGTCGAGGCTGAAAGAGTTTTTGATACTTTATCATGACTCCAGAGGCCGACTATTCTGTAGCCGTATGGATGATTTCCTCTACTGCACGAATTACGATTTTAGAACCTCTGAACCACTTTCTAACCTTGACAAGTTTTTGAACCATGTATAAGAAGTACATCCACTTTATTTGCTTGGTTTTGTATAATATATTTTTACTCTATACTGACTGATTCGATTATAAACTAACGTTGAGTAATTAGAAGAACAAAAGGATAATCAATGTCATTATTCGAAAATCAAGCAGTTGCTACGTTTTCTGTACCGCCTTCCTTAACCTTTGAGTCACATTGTGTTTCCCTTCAAAGTAAATTAATGTCTATCATTTACTACATTTTAATTTGACCCTCTAGTTGTCCTACTAGATTCTTTCTAACTAAACTTTTAGGATAGATTATATTGTATAGATGAAATCGGGTTATCTTATCAAGAAACACATGGAGTATTATCAACCTTTAAATAAATGTTACATGATGCTTCAAGATATTTATTGATTATGAGAAATAGTGATAATGATTTGTTCGCAATTAGTTTCAGTCGAAGTTATGTCACATGAAAGCAAAATTTTTAAATTAGAATGAACTGCTTATATACATAAGGATCACGAGAAACGAAGGTCGGTACGTTTCTCGTTCTACTTTTGCAAAAACATTCAGGATGTGTCAGTGAATTTCTGTCTTTGTCGTAATGCAATTATCAAAGGTAACAAGACTATATTGAGAAAAAATAAAGTGGAAACTATTCTTAAACTTTATCCTTTACGTTGTTTAAAAAGTACATTCATTTAGCAAATGAAATTTCACAATCAACCACTGATTCTAAATACAGTCTGATTGTATAACTTCTTTCTCAAGGGGAATCAACCAAGACTTAATATTGCACTGAGCTATTTTCATGTGATGCAAAAATTCTACTCAAACAGTCTAATGAAGTGATAAAACCTTTTAAAGTTAACTCCAATTGTCTTTACTTATATACTTATAACTACGGTTACAAGTACTTCAATGGAATGGAGTTTTATCTAGAAGGGTTTCTGGACCCATATAAAAAATGATGTCAATTAATATCCACAAATCCTGAGGTAGAGAAATATATGTCATGGATACAATAGGTCCCAATAGAGTTTTAGAATAATAGAAAGTAGCAGAAGCTATTCGTCATTTTTACTCCTATTTTGAATGATCCTACAAATGTTTAAAAAGGTTTATACGACAAATAACCTTTGCAAACATCATCCGTTCTCATTGTGAGACAGTGGGAATTGTTGAATTTCAATTAAATCATGAACCAATTTCAGTCAGACAACTAATAGAAAGCCGGAAGCATTGGAGGAGTCTGATACTACGGTGAAATGTCTGTCCAGTGCTTCAAGGTTATTCATTCCTGATTTAATGACAGTAATACCTTTATTGTTCATTTTCTAATTTATAATTGATACTATAGTAGACTTTATTATTCTTCCCACTAATCCAATACAATATTTCACATGTTTACCGATTTAGCTATTCACATGTTTACTTTTTCATACTCTCGTCAAATATTATTATAACTTAATACTTAACACTGTAGAATGATCTGAATCAAGCATCACTGAAAACTAGGGAATCCCGGATAGTAATTTTGTCTTAGTACACGAATCTTTAGTAGTGCACATCCATGACTCTGTCACCATAGGACGAATATATGAAGTTCAGTCTCACTCAAATACTCAATCTCTAAACCACTGAGCCAGCATCTAATTGTTGCGTGCTGTTGAATAGTCCAATGCGAGTATGCAGCAGCTCTCTACTTATTCCCGGTTTTCAGTGATGTTCTGCTAAGATCATTCGTGACGCTAACTTTGAAATTGCGAAATCTCACCAGAAGTTAATTTAACTAAACCGCAAGTATATATTTGAAGTTATTAAGTTGATTATTCGTAAAATGAACAAAATAGTAACCTACAGGATAATTATTTAATGATAAACTAAATAACTCTATGAATGTTACGTACAAACTTGCATTCGTGAGTCTACGAAATATAACATTCTCCATAAACCCCATTTACCAATGATAATCATGTACTCTCTATTAACCAATTCCATGAGGCAATTTACGAAGACCTAGTAACAACCCGTGTTTAATGGAGTTCAACCTAACGTAGGTATTCACAATGACAATGGATGTCAGCAGCATGATATCACAAATTCACTAAAGTTAGACATGTAAACGATTGAGTGGTAACTCAATGATCTGAAGGTTAAAGATTAAGACGATTCTTGAAAGTTTTAGGTGTTACTCTTTAAGGAGATATTTGATGGGCATTGATGATGTGTCTTATACTTAGACTAATCCATTTTCTCATGATTCTTGCTTTCTAATAGTACCTCAACATGAGTTAACGCTTGACGAATACAGTATCGGTTATGGTATGATCTATTTATTCTGGCTAATCGTTACCTCTAAACTAATTATATGAACAATATTTGATTTGAAAGTACTTCGCTTTTAGTTCTATAATATCTCTATTAATTCTATTTATACTCAAACTACACATCGGTTAAGAAAATCACAATATACACCTGATAGTATACAACAATTTCTATGTAGAAACACTTGATAATCAAAATGTTTCATTATTATCCTATTCATATTTAAACTACCCCTTTCTCTATATATCTCGATAATTCTTATTATAAATGATAAAACTCATGATTCAATTGAGATTTAGAATAGAATATAAATATTACTGTGTTTTATTCATGCCTTGAAACTGTCATAATTGACTGATTCTACATAATACATTCTCATTGTCACATTGTAATAAAGATTTCGAATAAATGAATAAAATAGAATGATTATGTAATAAAAATTATTGCTTAAAACGAAAAGGACAAGAATATGAAATTCTTTGAGTTCCCTTCATTTTTTATTTTATTTATTTTAACACATAGATATTGGTGCAAGGATGCACCAAATACATATGCGCCACACAGATCTCATTTGATATGTGTAAGGGCTGTGATACTGCCCGGGTGCCCAAACCGAAACAGGTGGTTTACTTAAGGGGCCACAGCCCGAGCCTTTGACCTAAAGGTCTGACCCACAAGGCAGTGGAGCATCGTGAGGAGATCCAGTCCCATGGTAGCCGGTAACCAACGATTGGTTCATACGCCATTTGTTCCCGCAGGATACTAGAGCCCATGTGCACCACTGGTTTGGGACGCCGGACATTCACTTATCT